TCAAGCCCATTACATACAGTGTCTCATATTGATAATATTATGAATATAATGTTTCCAGGACAGGACAGATATAAAATCAAGTAGAGGTTCTAAACTTTATCCATTTTGATATAAAAATGTTGATGTGTCAAAAAGTAGATATATTTTCCACCACTTACTGCCTCAACTTACAATCTATCAAAAAGAAAAAAATGGTTGATGTTGGACTGTATTATTATCATTTACAGGGCATCTCTAGATTAAACTTTTGTTGTTAGTCATGGATAAGGAAGGGTTAAAACTCCTGTTTTTATTGCTCTTTGTGTTCCTACTGGGAAGATCCAATCTCTCTATTTGTGTTGGTGACCATTGTCGCCGTCAAAGAAAGTGATGTGAAATCCAAAATTTGACAGTTGTCACCAACTGTCAAGCTGAAGTGAAGCCTTTCAACTGTCTAAGAGGGGATTTCCTCTTTTCCCCTTGAATAGCTTACCTCTCACCTCCTGTTGTGTCTCTGGGACAGGAAGTGAAGGAATTCCCACACTCTCTTCAAAACTGAAAAAAAAAAAATAGATTAGAGATATAATTCATATGCTTAGAAGTGTACTTATTTTTTATGTTATTTTGCTTTTTTAAACTACTTAGTGACTAAGCACAATTTTGGAACTTTGACATGTGTTAGTAAAACTGTACATCTCAACTACTTTGTTTATCCCGGTGGATTATACCTTGTTTTTTTCAGGACACATTGGGCTTTATTATGGTGGTAAATGGTATATGGATATCTCCTGCTTTTTTTTTAATCAAAGGAAAACCAGCCCAAAAAAAGGTGTGTATAACATATGTGTATGTTATTTGTTGTTTGTACCCATAGTACAAACAACAAATAACATAGTGGCAGCACAGTGGCTAAATGGTTAGCACTTCCGACTGACCAACCTAGGGTCGTTGGTTCAAATCCCAGCCACAGCACCTCCTGCCTGTAGTTTCTATGTTCTCCCTGTGCCTGCATGGGTTTTCTCCGTGTAATCTGGTTTCCTCCCACATTCCAAAGACATGCTGGTAGGTTAATTGGATCCTGTCTAAATTGGCCCTAGTATATGAGTGTGAGTTAGGGACCTTAGATTGTATGCCCCTTGAGGGTTAGGGACTGATGTGAATGTACAATATATATATGTAAACCACTGCATAAATGGACGGTGCTATATAAGTACCTGAAATAAATAAATAATAGTAGGGCCCACAATGGTGCACATTTTACATTTTTGTTATCCTGTCTAAAACACACTGATATTAAAATTCTTTTTTTTAATCCACCCAAAATATACTTACCTTGACCTTTGACCCTTACCTTAATTCTAACACTAACTCTGGCAAATTTTGTTATTTTTTTTTTTTTTTTCCTTTATTTGTATTAGCTTTTGTTACCTTAATTCTAACAGTAACTCTGGCAAATTTTGTTATTTTTTATTCTTTTTTTTCTTTATTTTTATTATCTATTTTTATATTTAATGTTTTAATATTTATTTATTTACATATTTTCACTTTTGTTTGTTTATATCTTCCTCTCCTGCAAGAAGAGAAAGATACAATATATCTTTTCCTTCATTCAGAAGAGAAATAAAGACATGGGATGCTGCACAGTGACTGATCATTGTGACAGTCAATCAAAGGCTATCACAGCGATCAGGTGACCTTTAACTGGGATTCCCAGGTCCGGATCATTACTATGAAACCCAGGGATCTCAGTGAGAGCACACTCTCTGTGCTGGGAGTGCACTGTGCTGAGAGCTGTCAGCACAAAGACAGATACATATTTTTGCAGTCCCACAGATAAAGACCCACTTCCGTGAGACCGAATATATGCATACTGTCGGTGGGAAGGAGTTAATATTCATTAGCAAATACAATATCATACGACAATATAATAAAGTTACAATGTAATAAAAATCCACACAAAATTCCACAGAGCATGAAGCAACACCTGTTTATCCAAAGGAAAACGGTACTTCCTTTTACTGAGGAAATGGCAGATTTTTTATGTCCCTAAATTATGTTCCTAAATTGCAGCCAAGTAAGCAGATCATCAGAAGGCCAAAAAGGCAGACAGAAATCTTAAAATTAATCATACTTAAATTTTTTTTAGGTTCACATCTTGTTAAATAGAAAAAAAAAAAAAAAAAAAAAAAAAAAAAATATATATATATATATATATATATACCGTATATATAATAACAGCATGAAGTGAAACATAAATAACTTGACGTGAAGCATTCCAGACAGTCGAGATTTCCAACCTGTGATAGCAAAGCAAATCATAAGTGAAAAAGTCTGTTGAGGTATTTTAAATAGGCACGGGATTTACAGTCATAATTTAAACACTGGTGCAGCAAGCAGCATAGACGAAGAAAAAGTATCTATTATTACAGGCTGGGATTTACTGCATAATATATACACGAATAAAGGCTTGTGCTGAGCAAAAAAAATAACAACTGAAAAGAGAGCACAAATAAAAGTTGTTGTCACATTAGGGTCAGTTCATTAAAGCTAAATGTACACTGCTCAAAAAAAAATTAAAGGAAGACTTTTTAATCAGAGTATAGCATCAAGTCAATTAAACTCCTGGGATATTGATCTAATCAGTTAAGTAGCAGTTAAGAAGCAAAGGGGGCTGTTAATCAGTTTCAGCTGCTTTGGTGTTAATGAAATTAACAACAGGTGCACTAGATGGGCAACAATGAGACGACCTCCAAAACAGGAATGGTTTTACAGGTGGAGGCCACTGACATTTTTTTCCCTACTCATCCTTTCTGACTGTTTTTCGCTAGTTTTGCATTTGGCTAGGGTCAGTGTCACTACTGGTAGCATGAGGTGATATTTGCACCCTATAAAGGTTGCACAGGCCGTCCAACCCCTCCAGGATTGCACATTAATACGTGCCATTAACAGAAGGTTTGCTGTGTCTCCCAGCACAGTCTCAAGAACATGGAGGAGATTCCAGGTGACAGGCAGTTACTCTAGGAAAGCTGGACAGGGCCGTAGAAGGTCCCTAACTCATCAGCAGGACTGGTATCTGCTCCTTTGTGCAAGGAGGAACAGAATGAGCACTGCCCTACAAAATGACCTCCAGCAGGACACTAGTGTGAATGTCTCTGACCAATCAAACAGAAACAGACTTCATGAGGGTGGCCTGAGGGCCCGACGTCCTCTAGCGGGCCCTGTGCTCACTGTCCGGAACCATAGAGCTTGATTGACATTTGCCATTGAACACCAGAATTGGCAGGTCCACCACTGGCACCCTGTGCTTTTCACAGATGAGAGTAGGTTCACCCTGAGCACATGTGACAGATGTGAAAGGGTCTGGAGAAGCTGCCTATAAAATCATTCAGCATGACCGTTTTTGTGGTGGGTTATTGATGATCTTGGGAGGCATAGCCATGGAGGGACGCACAGACCTCTACAGGCTAGACAATGGCACCCTGACTGCCACTAGGTATTGGGATGAAATTCTTGGACCCATTGTCAGACCCTATGCTGGTTCAATGGGTCCTGGGTTCCTTCTGGGGCACGACAATGCCTGGCTTCATGTGGTGACAGTATGCAGGCAGGTCCTGGAGGATGAAAGAATTGATACCATTGAAATGCCCCCACACTCGCCTGACCTAAATCCAATAGAACACCTCTGGGATATCTTGTTTATCTTGTCCATCTGACACCGGCAGGTTACACCTCAGACTGTATATGAGCTCAGTGATGCCATGCTCCAGATCTGGGAGGAAATACCGCAGGACACCATCCATTGTCTCATTAGGAGCATACCCCAATGTCAGGCATGCATACAAGCACCCGGTGGCCATACAAATTGCTGAGTACCATTTTGAGCTGCTTCAATGAAATTTCAGCAAAATGGACTAGTCTGCTGCATAATTATTTCACTTTGATTTTCGGGGTGTGTTTGAACTCAGTCTTCTGTAGGTTGATAATTTTTATCTCTGTCAAACAATAGAGCATCCTTACCTTCCTAACACATTACCAAGTTCATATCAGTCTAGATATTCAGCATGATATTTTTCCTCATTGGGATCTGATCAAAGTGTTCCTTTAATTTTTTTGAGCAGTGTATTTCCATTACTTGGACTGATTTGCCAATAGAACTTTAGGCGCTGCAGTTGGTAATGTGAATTGTTATGTATTTATTTATTACAGATACCTATATAGTGTCTTCAATTTAAACAGCGCTTCACATACAGTATATATTGTACATCCACATCAGTCTCTGTCCTTAAAGATCTTACAATCTAAAGTCCCTAACTCCCATTCATACATACACATACTAGGGCCAATCTAAGCCCCGTACACATGATGAAAATATCGGATGAATGTCCATTTTTTGCTTGCTAGTCTCATATTGAAAGTGAAGAGGTTACTAAAATTATGAATATTCTTGTATGACAGAATAAAAATTCGGAAGTGATGTCATGTATCGTAATATATTTGCATTGTATTTTCAACAAAAACTGTACTGATTAAATGAAAATCATACAATTTGGTATCGTATGAGAAACATTTTCGTGCTTATCCCTTTGAGTAATTTAAGATGAAGCTGTGTACTAATGATCAAATTATCGTATGATCAATTCAAAAGTGGTATGTTTGTATGATTTTCTGATCATGTGTACTAGGCTTTAGATAGGAGCCAATTACCCAACCAGCATGTCTTGGCATATATATCATATTTACTTTTATTTTTATCTTCACTGCTAATGATTTATGCCTCATCTGAAGTCAGTACTCTGGTGATTGAGTTGTTAGCTGGAGCATATCCCAACATTTACACAGGTTTAAATAATCTCAACATTGAGGCTAAAGTTTAGTACACATGATCAGAAAATCGTACAAAAAATACCTCTTTCGAAGAGATCATATGATAATTTGATCGTTAGTACACAGCTTTCATCCGAAATTATTTGAAGGGACAAACACGACAATTTTTGCGTATGATACCAGATCGATTTTCATTCAACCTCCCTGGCAGTATTCCCGAGTGTAGCTCGGGGTAAAGTTTCAGTACCACAAGCGGTAACCCCGAGCTACACTCGGGAATACCATGCGGCACTGCTCCGGGATCCCTCGATCACTTAACTTGTGTTGCGCTCCCGCGATGTCCCTCCTGCAGTGTCCCCGGTAATGTCCTCCGGCCGATGCCGGCATCTGTCATCTGGGTTCCTTCCCCTGCGAGCGTCGGGACATACGGGGATGGAATGGCGGGAAATTTGAAAATGACAAAAAGTGACATTCACTAAATACACTAAAATCACATAGTAAAACATTCCTGTATCAAACCATTTCACATACATTGTGTCCCGAGTGCTTTGTCCTGTGCCCTGCCTGCATTTTTACTGTTCTTTCTGCCTGGAAACTGAGAAACGTCCATGGCATCCAAAAAGCGTCCCTTTAGGTCAAAAGCAGTTTTAGATCAGCTAGAGAACAGCGATAGTAAATCAGAACCACTTGCAGAATTGAGTGATAATGATTCGTGGGGAAATTCATCATCAGACACTGAAAACGATTTTGTGACTTTGCTCAGTGATGTGTGAACTTTGTGATCAATTTCAAATTTCAGTGTTTTTGGTTTGATTATATTATTGAATTAAATTTATTATTATTTTATTATTATTTTGTATGATTATTTATTAAATTATAATTTATGATTTCGTGTTTCAAATTGTAACATACCCGGGATGTTTACTAGACTCTTCTTCGGACAGATTTCAGTGAGAAATTCCTAAAAATTACAGGCCTACAACAAAACAAATACATATTTCCATGCAAAAAAATGTACCGCTTTGAGCACAGAAATATGGACATAATCAGACCACTAGGGAGGTTAATCAGTACAGTTTTTGCCTGAAAATACAATACAAATACATTACAATACATGACTTCACTTCCTAATTTTATTTCACCCTACGAGAACTTTCATAACTTTAGTAACCTTTTCATTATCGATATGAGACTAGCATGCAAAAAAAGGATGATCATTCGCCCAATATTCTCATTGTATGTACTGGGCTTTAGTTGTTGTCTCTGACTGGGTCATATGGATTGTTGTGTATAAATGGACAAATTACCTTTTGATGGTTTAAAGGATAAGTTCATCTTTTGTAACATGTTACATGTTACACCCATATTCAGGGTGTAACATGTAACATGTTATAAACAGACTGGCTCCCACTCCTCCCCGCTCCCCATTGTGACAGCTCACTGGGATCTTCTTCCCCCTGCTAGCTGTCACAATTTTAATTAACGTGGCTGCAGTTCTCAATGAACTACCACGGTGCTGTGGAGTGCCGTGGTAGATCATTGAATCCTCCTGTCAGTATATCCGCTTGCCTAAACATCCTGTACAGGCAAACAGATATACTGACAGGTCTGCAGGAGACCTGCATGGCACCAGCGATCTACTGATCCATGGTGCAATGCTTTGCAGGCTCCAGAAACAAAAAATAATAAATGAACATTTTTTTACCTGCAAAAAAATGTGCATTTTTAATTTTTTGTCAAAAGGTGAACTTATCCTTTAACTGCAAGCACAATGGCTCCATGCATGTCTCAGTTTGGTACTTTGTTGAATGTGTGAGCCATGGCTGATAGTATTAAGTTATACAGCTGGAGCACCTTTTCTCAACCCTTTAGATGCAATTTTATGCGCAATTGACCTTTGTTTAGGAGTCTAATGTTGTTGGATTAATTTTCACTTTCATATTCATTTTTTAGTGTTCTGAGTTTTAGTCGTTTTGGCACTCCCTCATAGGGATCATCATATATTATATCCTATATACCAAACACTTAGCTCATTGCTTGCCCTTAGGTTTATCTCAGTGGACACTCTGATTGGCATGCATGGTTTATTTTGCTTTTTTTGCACATGAACTTTCCTACTAAGTACTATTTGCACATTTGAGCCATTTTGAAGTATATTGGATTATAGTCTATACCACTTCTGAGGAGAGTATCACCATTCTTTTTTACCCATTTCATCAGCTCTAGATACATTTCTACCATTAGCCTTTAACCTTTAGTGATGGGCTGAACACCCCCCTGTTGGGTGTCGAACATTTGAACCTAAAGAAAGTTCAACCATGAACTTTGAACCAGGACAATTTACTAAGCGGTATCTTACCGCATCTGTGTATGCAGTAAGATACCACACAGCTACTAAAATACCACATGAGTAATATTACTAAGTCATGCGGTATTTTAGTAGTAAAATATTCTTTAATGTTTCAGCTGTCAGGTTCCCCACCATCAATACCAAGCCCTTCAGGTCTGGTATGGATTTTGAGGGGAACTCCCACACCAAAACAAAAATAATGGTGTGGGGGTCCCCCCCAAAATCCATACCAGACCCTTATCCAAGCATGCAGCCCAGCAGATCAGGAAAAGGGGGGACAAGTGAGCACCCCCCTCCTGAATCATACCAGGCCACATGCCCTCAACATGGGGAGGAGCTTTGGGGTGGGCTCCCCCCCAAAGCACCTTGTCCCCATGTTGATGAGGACAAGAGCTTCTTTCCCACAACCATGGTCAATGGTTATGGGGGTCTGTAGGCAGGGGGCTTATCGAAAATTGGAAGCTTCCTTTAACAAGTGGGCCCCCCAGATCCCGCACCCCCCATGTGAATGAGTATGGGGTACATGGTACCGCTACCCAGTCACAAAAAAAAGTGTACTGTAAAAATGACAAGAGACAGCCTTTGACAAGTCCTTTATTAATAACAGTAATAAAAGTCCCCTGAAGTCATGATGCCCGTCACCACTGGTGACCTGAAAAAAAAAAAAAAATGCCTTGCTCTCGGTGCTGGCTTCCGGCCATATGATAGTTGCGCTGGGATGACAGTTCTTAAATAGTGTGATGAACTCACAAGGGGTCAGGGTCACATGACGTGACGGCATCCTGCTCTGTGATTGGCCAAAGCATGGCACCTAACCTGAAAACGGGCTGTACCCCTTTAGTAGCTGAAAAGTAGTGATAGTTAGTCATTAGGAATGATGCTGAACATACCTGGGTTCTGTTTGAGATGGCAGATTCAGTGAACATTAGTGAAATTGTGGTGGCAAATCTGAATCTGAACCCTTATTGTAGTCAATGGGATCAGAATGTTGAAAACAGTAATGACCATTTTTCTAGTAGACAAAAAGGTGTCAAACAAATGGCATAGGGGCCTGGACACTGAGCCCTGCCCTGGGAAACATGTACCAAAACAAAACTTTTATTTTTATTCCATCTGGTGGAAAGCAGCAATTTTATAGTCACATAACACACTTTCATTTGATAACATCAACATTGTAATAACAATACAAACAGTTATATTTAATAATCCAATATAAGATTATGTGAAAAATCTAATTTCATGTTGTCAGTTCTTCCTGTCTGCTGGCTGTCTCTTTCCACAACTTCCTGGATTCCCTGCATGCTTTGCAGCTTAATCTAAATTTCTAAGGACTACATATCCCATGGTACCTTGCTGCCTGCAAGCAGTGATTCCTGTACTGACTCTGGTTCCTGAAAATCCTCCTCTCAGCACCATGCATGTGCAGCTCATTGTACATTTACAGCCCCGCTCTGTGCCATGATGATGTGACTTTAGTGTTCAAGCAAGGGAGAAAACATCATCTGTGTATACAAGTACATTATGGCATAAAGGTCCCAGGGGCCATTTTCAAATTTTTTAAAAGAAATGTTTAATTCAACGTTGATCTTCCTGTGAAGTAGCATATCTGTACGATGTATACAACCTACTGCAGCAAACCTGACATTTATAAAGAAAAAACAGAGAAGAGAAGAGAAGAGAAGAGAAGAGGTAGAGGTGCCATATATATCAGAAGAAAAAAAATGGGCAGACTTAAAGGACCACTAGATCTTTTTTTCATCATCACTTTTCTATATTTCTACATTTCTAAAAAATGCAGTTTAAATTTCTGGTAAATGACAGGTCCTGGCCATTTACATATGTTTGTAAACAAAGATCCCAGTGATTCCCATCTACTTTACCTGATCCTTATCTTAGATGAGGGTCTGATATAAATGTTAATGGAGGACCCTAAAAAAAGACTGGGGTTCCCATCTAAAAATACATACCTAACCCTTATCTTTGAAACTTCTAAACAAAGGGGGGGGGGTGCCTTGCCAGAGGGACCACTCAAGTAAAACAGAAATATTGCCCCCATGTTTATGAGGATAAGGATCTCTTTCCCACATACCTGACCCTGTGATTATGACTGTGGGCAGCTTATTGAAATCTAGAAGCCCCCTTTAAAAATAAGTGGACTATTGAAACCAGCCACTCCACATGCATGAGTCAGGGATACATAGTACACTTTGTCACTCACAAAAACAAGTGTAGAGTGTAAATAAAGATACTTACTTTTTTTGCAAGTCCTTTATTAAACATTAAGAAACCCCAAAACAGTCCATTGATGTAAATCTATCATCAAGCCCCTGCTATGCAGATCCAAGCCAATCACGATCAACGATGACCTCCAACTCACCAAAGAAAACCTGCTGACTGATGGACACATCTGATCCCATCACTACACTTGCTATATGGCTCTGGTCCCTATATGTAAACAAAGACGTGGGGCATACCTAATGATGCCTCTGCCCAAATCCGCTCATATTTGGTCAGTGATGTCATGATGTCAGTGCTACCCTTGACATGACCAGCATTCCCAGATGTAATTTATGGGTCAGACAATATTATAAAAGGGGTTATTACTTGACCCTGAACATGTGAAACTGTGATACAAGCACCTGAATTTCAAATCTTACATACTTGTTTGTGTCTTACTTCATGGTTCCAAATTTATTCCCATCATGCCTCAGTCATGGCACCATTTAGAGCATTACTATGTTGAAATGTAAGCATGGTCTGGTCTGTAATTTGTGTCATATAAACAAAGAACTAAACTCTCAAATTAAAAAATAATATTTTTGCAGGTCCATGCCTCCAATAGTTAGATCGCTGGTTTGCTTTACAGAAAATCCTTTAGTAAATATGAAGGTTTACCTTAAATATATTATTTTGAGACAATCTCTCTTTAAAAAAGCTTCTAGCAACAAAATCAAACTAAAATTAATCTAAAACAGTGACAAACGAGAAACACTGGATTTTGACCTTTAATAACTGAGAGTGTGTCCTCTAGGGAGTGGCTTTGGCCATACTAAACATCGCTATTATACACTGCACCATGAGAACACTTCTGAATTGAGAAGATTTTGGAATTGATTTTCTGCAGGTTTTTTGCACATTAGTCAATTTTTCACATAGTTGACTAATTTGAGACTTGTTTATTAT